GGTAGCGGCGGTTGAAGGTGCGGGGACCGCGAGGGCCACGAGGACCGCCACGAGGGCCACCACGACCGGGGCCGCGGGGACGGCTGCCACCGGCGGAGGTCTGGTTGAAGGTCTCCCACTCGTAGGAGGCGAACATCCAGGGGCCGACACCCTTGTAGTCGTTCATGGCGATGGGGACGGAGGTGTAGTACTCGAAGCTAGCGTTGCTCTTGAGGGAGCCGACCTCGACGGTGCCGTTCCAGTTGACGGTGCCGTTGGCGTTCTCGACGACAAAGGTGGTGAGCTCCTGGTAGCCTTTGGCGGCGGCGGGGAAGAAGCGGCGCTCGGGGAGGAGGCCAAGGCGGATACCCTTGAGCCAGGAGAAGACGAAGAGGGCGGAGGCGGAGGACTCGATGTAGTTCTTGGGGCGACCGACGTAGGGGCTGTCCATGATGAGCCACCAGCCGCCGGTGGTGCTGTCCTGGGCGTTCTTCAGGCCCTCGGCGAGGGTGACGAAGAAGCGGGAGAGGGTGGTGACGCCGGGGTGACCGCGGGGGAGGAGTTCAAGGACCTCGAGGAGGGCGACGGCGTACCAGCCGACGGCACGGGACCAGGTGAGAGGGGAGGCGCCGGTGATCTGGTTGGCCCAGACGGCCTCCATCTTCTCGTCGAAGCCGTGGTAGAGGAGACCGGTGGTGTAGTTGCGGGTGTGCTTGTCAATAACTTCGAACTGGTTGACAATATCGTTCCAGGCGGTGGTGTTATCCTTGTCGAAGAGGGAGGTCCACTTTGCGTAGAAGGTGTCGGCCATGAAGATGCCGTCGAGCCACATTTGGTAGTCGTAGTCGGGGCTGCGGTGGAAGAAGCCGCCCTCGTCGGTACGGGGGTGGCGCTCAACAAGCTGGTCGCGGATGGTTCTGGCGGCGGTCTTGTACTTCTCCTCGCCGGTGCGCTCGTACCACCAGAGGATGTTGTTGCCGATGCGGTACTCGTCCAGGGAGTAGGTGGTGGGCTTCCAGTTCAGGATGCTGCCGTTGGACTGAACGACGAGGTCATCGATACGGCTGCGGTACCAGTCGACGAGAGCGTCATCCTTGGTGAGCTCGATGGCGGCCTCGAAGCCGTCGTAGAGGACGGCCTTGGTGTAGTGGTACGGCTTCTTGTTGTCGATCTCGTGCTTGGTGAACGAGTCGGCAGTCCAAGCGAGGTAAGGGCCGGCGGCCGCCGCGGCGGTCGCGAAGAAGAGGACGGACTTCATTATTGGCTTTGATATGGGGGGTTTTTGCTTTGCTTTGGGGGGGTTCAAAAGAGTGACTATGTCGAGATTCGGGAATCACGACAGGAGAGTGAGAAGCAAGCGGATGAAGGAACCAGATCTGAGTCGCCAAGCTTCCTCAAAAAACGGCTAAGGCTGGGGGGGAAGGGAGCTCTTTTTAATCCAAGATCGGATACAAGCCGGTTCGTCTACGCCTCCATGTTTGCTGGAGAGCACCCGACGGGGGGGAAACAGTGCAGCCGTGTAACGAAGGATCCATCGACGGGGTTCTGGGATGAGTTGGATGAGTCGGGGTGATTAGGGACGACAGTGGGGGGGTTGCGCTTATTGATCATCACCAGAATGATCAGATGGGGACAGCCAAGCAGAGCATGGCGACTGCGAGGACGAGGGGTTTGCAGACTGGAGCAATCAACAGCACTGGGCTTGAGGCCGGGAGATCAGGGAATCAGGGGTTGGGGGAAAAAAGGCAAAGGATTGCCAAGTGGAAGCCAAGGGGAGAGCAGAAAATATCCAGGAACTACGTGTAGAGATCCATCATAGTCATCTTGTTCCTCATCCCGCACCGCCCGTACCATGTCGGACAAATCCACCGCTGTCGAAGAGGAATATGATGTGCTTCTATAACCTGCCCAGCACTCTGCAAAGACAGATACAGCAGCGGCTATCTCGAGGTCGTCGTCAGCATAGTGTGAGTTGTTTATGAGCCAAGTATCGTCGCATCCCACCCCCTCTACGGTTCATCTCCGCCAACTTGGCCCATTCTGGAGAAGAAGTGGATGGGATGTTGGACGGAGGATGGAGAAATAAGGTCCGGATCCAGTGAATGACGAGAACGACGGTTGAGGCTCCCCACGTACGCGTCTTGGCAACGTCTTGGCAACGTCTTGGCACGTCTTAAGAAGATTGAAAGACGGCGGGCCTGCGTGCCTGCTTCGCTTCTCAAGGACTACGCCGCTCCGTTGCTAGTCGTGCTAGTATCTGAGTATCCGTAGAGACTAGCTAGAATCCGTAAGAGCAGACCCGTCCGCAATCCTAAGCGGCCCCCGGGAGTTGCAGGGCGCTCACCTTCTCTATCAGTTTAAACTTATGGGTCCGTCGCCGCGAATAAAGGCCAACAAGTATTGGCTTTCTTGGGCTTTGTGACGATTGAGATGACCTTGATCTTTTCTGCTGGGGCCAAGCCCGGGCGGGATGCTCGACACCGCTGACCGTTGGAGGTGGCATGGTTGAAAGGGAATTTGAGGAGCCAAAGACCACAATTGGCACATTTTTTGCGCGTGATGTGGGCACCGTCGGGGGCCCTGGACTTTGCGTTGCCAAGCTGCGTATTCGCTGCACCCCTTCATCTCAAAGCTCGCTCAACGGGATGGCCCCACGTCGGGTGCGACTCTTCAGCCCGCGCTCATTATCGATGTAAGACTGTAAGTTCGGGATGAGTGTTGGTCTTGCATGTTTCTGGCTTGTTTGGTTGGCCTCCCGGGCTGATGATTGATGGATCATGGAGCGCCCAGCCGGACAAACTCCCAATATGAAAAATATTCGAAGAGAGATAGTTGGCGACGCGGTGTGAGCTGTGGACTCTGGCCGAAATTCGCTGCATGGGCATGAGTGAGCCTCCAACGGGTGTCTGTTGACTCTGTAGAACAATCCAACGGTCCAAGAGATCAGCTTTTCTCGGCCGGCTGTAAAGATGCCTGATGTTTGATAACGATTGCGCAATCTTTCCTGGTCAGCCAAGTTCTGTTGTTTCTTTTGAGAATTTCCGCCGAACGATCCAGTGAATAATCAGATAATCACTTGATCTCCCTCCGTACTATGATAAACTTCCTGCGTGTATTTTTTTTTTTTTTTCGCGCTGTTGACGCCGGCACGATGTTGGATTGATGAAATTGGCCGTAGTATTTTAGCTTCATTGCCAAGACAGTCGCATCGAGGTGTTGAAGTAACCCTGCTGGGGACAGATGTCAGCAGCGATAAATCTGCGACACTTCCGAGCCAAACGTCGGCGCGATGAACCGGATCTCCAGTCCAGGGCAGAAAATAAAAAAACAAAGAGCATGAAAGAGAAACAGCCACCCGCAAGCAAACATGGCTCCCGTGCCGAATGTGACTTTGGCCGGTTGATTCCGAGAGAGCAGACCAAACACAATCTGATCCATCGTGGCTCCAGTCTTCGGAGGCGAGATATGTCATTCAGGGGCATAGGGGCTCGGTGTGTATCCGTACGGATACTGTGTGGTGAGTGTTCTGCGTGGCACGGTGGCAGTGTGATGTAATTCGCTTTCGTTCTGAGTGAACTCACTGCCCAGTGTCAATTTGTATAATCAGACAGAGTGAGGCGTAGTGGCAAAACTTGCGAGTCGCCATCTCCGCCAAGGGACTGAGTGGGTGGCACGGTGGGTTAGTGGTCTTTGCTTTTCCATTCCCTCTTCAGCGAGTCTGATCGGCAGATAAGACGGTCTTGTCTTGAGTCGAGTGTTGGTCACGCTGTCTGTGGGTGAAAGTGAGACTGATTCAGACGATTGAAGATGTTCGTTAGTGCGCAAGCCGACTTCCCACCTGTCAAAGTCAAGAGGACGATGGATTAAGCTCATATGGCGTCAAATAGCCGCCCCCGAGAGTCTGTTTTAACTGAGATAAGTAAGCCGACGGGATCGCTCAAGGATTGCTCGATTGTTGAATTTCCTTAGTTATGCAAAAAGGGCAAAAACGACTGGTTTTGCCGACGATAGAGTTTGAACCCAATTTCCATTGTCGGGGAAGCGTGAACCACCGCGAGAAAGCCACATGTTCATGTGGCTTGACTACCTTATCGCCTTATCCACTGAGGTAGCGAGGGGTGGCTGGTGATTGGGAACCCGAAGATCGCCCGACTCCCATGGAAGTCATCAATGGAAGGTGCGCTACAGCCTGGAGTTGCTCCCGTGCTCCCGGCGGGAGGGCAGGTGATGGCCCAAGCTTCTTGTCAATCTCGAATGTCACTATGGTCGCCCTTGCCAATTGGACGCAGCTTCCATTGTCAGACTGGAGGCACCAAACTTAAAGATGGTTTACAGCAGCTTTCCGGCGAACAAGCTCCCTAAAAAGGGCAAACTGGAGCAGTCACAAGCCAATCAGCAAGGACAACCCAAGGCAGTCTGCGCCGTTGGTCGCACCTTCCAGCAGTTGTGCGACCTCTCCTACCTAAGGTACTGCACGTCACCTTCCAGAATTCGGATACCATAAGGCAGGAACGACCCAGAACGGGTATCGACACACGGGTACCGACAGGCAACGATCGGATTCGGCAAGGCTGAAGCAGCAGCTCCTGCCCAGCATTTGCAATTAGGTACCTATTGTATCGTACCTAAGGTAGGTAAAAATCTCAAGTGAATAGGCAACCCAAGGTACCTGATCATTTTGAGTTGTGCGAATCTTTCCATTTCGGCCAATTCTTTCCCGCTTCTGACACTTTCGAAAAGCAAGAGTCTTACCTTCGAGTTCCCCGCTTCTGCCTGGATCGTGAAGCTCGCCCCACCTATTCCGATTCATTTGGACTTCAATACTAATAATTACGTCCATCGACCCAACAGACATTGGTATCTTTCGTTCGCGTCTTTGATTCTCTTCCGTTTATTCTCTAAAGAAGAGACTATCCAGCTAATATTGTTGTCGTTGTCAGTCTCATTTTCAAGTTCGAATTCCCCCAAGTTCAACGGATCGGTGCATCAATAACTTGGCGCACTGCTGTCGCCTTCCCACAATGTCACAGCATACACCATCGGCATCAGGGCCGTCAACATCAGTCATGGATGCACCGGCAAACCCTCAGTCCAAATCGCCCTTCAACAAAGTTCCTCTCGAGGTTCTCATTCGCATATCTGATCAATTGTCAACCCCCGACCTGGGAAGCCTTCGTCTGACATGCAGGTCCATAGAGCAGTCCATGTTCAATCTGTTTATGAAGGAGTTCTTTACTCAACGCCAATTCATGCTCACCGAATTCAGCCTACAGACCCTCATCGACATCAGCAAGTCACGGCTGAGTGATTGTCTCGACTATGTCATCATCGGCCTCAACACATTCACACGTCATTACTTTTCCCCAGGAGAGGAAGCCAAGGAAACCCGCTATCGCGAAGCCCAATCCGATCACCACACCCTAGTCAACAGCGGTCAAGACGTTGCTATGCTGACGGAGGCTTTCCAAAACCTCAAGAACCTCAAAACTGTGGGCATTCGTGACTACCACTCCAAGGGAAGGGGGTTTCGGGATGGTTTCGAGGTCAGCTGGGCGAGTTACGGTGCCACCACGCTCCGGCAATATACCGGAGTAGATCTTCTGCGCATACCTATCGAAGAGATGGTCGCCTACACCAACAAAGTCTTCATCACCCTCTTCACCGCGCTTGGCAATGCTGCTGCCCGGCCCAGTGCCTTCGAACTGCTCCGCCACCAGCAAGGCGTGCCCTCTGACGACGCTTACAACCTCTTCACCAAGTACCTCAAGCCCAAGGTCGTCCCCATCCTCGAGGGCCTCGAGACCTTCATATGTGTTGTGAACGTAGCAACTGGCCCCTCACGATTTACGTCACTCACAGGTAGCCCGGGCACTCACCAACGGCGTCGATACGATTATCTCCTGCGTCTCTTCTTGGGTGCCATGCCGAACCTCAAGCATTTACGGTTAAACTTTGCACACCCAGGCCACAACACGGATGCTATTGATGAATTTATCGACTGGCTGGGTACACCTGCCTCCAGTGCTCTTTCTGAACCGGACGACAACCAGCTACCGACGCCTCCAGCTCCGGTGGCATTCCCCCACCTCGAAGAGATTAACTTGGGCTTCGTAGAAGTCGAGCCGAAGCGGCTTCTCAAAGTCGTGCAAAAGCTTGCACCAACACTCAAGAATCTCGAGATGTGGAAGGTCACGCTCCGCACCCGTACAGGAGCTGTTCAAGGGGACTATAACGTGAGAGGCGACATTTCCATTATCAACATGTGGGCTCGATTCCTTCAGAGTCTGCGCAGCATTCCCGATCTCGATCTGAAACACATCATGGTCGGCTGCCCTGCTCAGCGCATGTCTATGATGAGCGCTAGGGTATGGCTCCAAGCCACAGACGGAGTGCCAGACAAGAGTGTGAGCAGACGCGAGTATACAGGCATCGACTGGAGGCATTTTGTGGGAGACTTGGCCAAGCAAATCATGGTGGATATCCCGCCCGAGCGTGAGCGTAACCCGGACTCGGACGAAGAAGATGATGAAGACACGAACGATGACATGGACGATGACATTGACGATGGTATGGACCATGACATGTTGGAAGACGACATGTTGGACGCGATACAAGGTCAGTAATTACATGCTGCAACTCTCTTTAGCTCTTGCGAGGCGCCGTTCTTAGAGTCCTACGGTCTCGTCAACGTGGCAGCTGCTTCCGTGGCCGTGAAATAGGATGGCGGAGCTGGCGAGAGGTGAATACTACATAACGGCTGACGACTTGATACCCGGTCCAGAACAAATGGAGTCAGGAGGCCACTTTCCAGATGAGATTGAGGAGGCGCTGGATGGCCTTGAAGATGCGATAGCCTATGAGCAAGGCTTTTATCCGATTGTGTTTCAGTAGACGATAATATAAGAACACAATTAGGCCCGGGCCGTAACCCTGCCCGACTCCTTCTACGATCAACACTTTTTGGGGCAACCTGTGAAGGAGGGAGTCCAGCGACTGAGTCGAGTATTCGAGTTTTTTAGTCTGGTGATGCTGGCCATGTAATTGTTTCTTGAGTTGTATTCTGGTCGGTGTAGAGCCTAGAGTCGGGATCAAAGGGCCCACCATGTACATATCCAGGCAGCTGGCCCGCTCAAGGAAGTCAATCAAGGTTGGCAAATGGATGGGCATGAAGCAATTTGGATACCTCAGATGGCAAAGTTGAGGTACACTGCAATTTGAAGCCAAGACCTTGCTCCAGGCAGGAGCTCCTCTAAAACTGAAGAGCATCTCCGGAGGGAAACATCGTCAAGTGTCCAGGTACTTTGATTGGCACTGAAAAGTGTTGACCAGCGAGGTACTCCGTTACTCGTGGTGGTACGGCGGAACCTTGATGTTGAAACGGCACGTGAACTCGCGAGGACCTCGAGCAGTCGCGGTGGCTCGTGCGCCAGGCACCAGCGGCGTTGGTGCCTGCAGGACCATGTTGGTTCGTCCAGAAGGAGCTGAAAGCGTGCGGCGCCTTCCACCCAGGTCCCAAGGTCCCAAGGTCCCAAGGTACTAGGTAGGTAGGTGAGGTAACTCCAATTGGCAATGAGCTGACTTGTTTTTCTGATCCAAAGTCCAAGGAGGCACAGCGAAATAAATCATCTCGACTCCCTTTCATCTTTTCGCCTTTCATCTTCACTTTCTTTTCCATCTCAGAGTCTCACTCAACCACCATCAATTGGACTCGGTCACTCAACACGGACCCCCCCTGTCATACTTTTGAAGCTTTGTTTCCCTTACACACTCAAGCTCCCCTGTAAACGTAGGCGCATAACCTCCACATCCCGCCCACAATGTCCGCTCCAAGGCGATCAGGGAGAACAGCTGCAGCAGCTACAAGCGCTGCTCCCACGACCCCTGCGGCCCAGCCATTGGCTGGCACTGTCATCGCCATCAGTGGCACCTTTGACAAGAAGCGGACGGATCTCGAGTCGTGGCTCTCCTCACTCGGTGCCGGCATTGCCAAGTCAATTACCAAGAAGACCACTCATCTTATTACGACACTTGAGGAATTCAAAGCTGTCACCACCAAAGTTGCTTCCGCCCAGAAGAACGGCATCTTCATCGTCACCCTCGATTGGGCCGAGACGTGTGAGTCTCAGGGGTCCAAGGTCGCCGAAAGCGATTTTGAGCCCGGCAAAACCGCAACGACCAAAGCAAAGGCTCCCCCGGCCGCAGCCACAAACGGGTCCACAAAGAAGAATGGAGCTTCAGCGCAGTCCAATAGCTCTCAGCAGAACGACTCGCAGTCGCAGTCTCAAACCAGCACTGCGTCCAAGGCCAGTGCCGCGAGCAAGAAACGCGTCAAGGCAGATGCCCAGTCTGACAATGACAGTGATGCTGATGTCAAACCTGACGCGAAGAAGCAAAAGGCTGCCGCCGGTGCCAAGGGCAAGAAGAAGGCTGCTGGTTCTGCGGCCGCGGCTAACGATGCTGACGACAAGACCGACGTGAAAAAGAAGGCTGCAAGCGGTGACCCCCAGACCGCCTCCAAAGGAATCGTGGTTCCTCTTGATGAGGGCTGCAAGGTGCAGGGAACCGTCTACATTGCACCTGACGGTGTCATCTACGACGCATCTCTGAACCAAACAAACGCCTCGAACAATAACAACAAGTTCTATCGTATTCAGGTATGTACACGCCAATTGATGTTACTAGTCCAAGCCGTCATCTAATCACCCCCGCAGCTTGTCCAAGATGGCAAAACGTTCAAAACATGGACCCGCTGGGGCCGAGTCGGAGAATTCGGCCAGTCTGCTGTTCTCGGCAATGGCAGCCTCGACGATGCGTTGAAGAACTATGACAAGAAGTTCAGAGACAAGAGCGGTATCGCCTGGGCCAAGCGCGCAGACCCTCCCAAACCCGGCAAGTATGCCTTTGTTGAGCGCAGCTACGAGCCAGACTCGGACGACGAAGAAGATGACAACGAGGCGGGGGAGGCCGGCGACGTCAAAAAGGAAGAAGATGACAGTGACGACGACATGGCAGACCCAGTCAAATCATCCCTTCCTCAACCGGTGCAGGACCTGATGGGCCTCATCTTCAACCAGCAGTACTTCCGTGAGGCCATGACCTCCATGAACTACGATGCCAACAAGCTGCCCCTCGGAAAGCTCAGCAAAAATACCATTCTCAGAGGTTTTCAGGTGCTCAAAGACTTGGCCGCTCTTTTCAACGATAGCACGCTTGCCGACTCCGAATACCACATGTCTGTCCCGGCTGCGACTGAGCACTTGTCCAACTCATACTACTCGCTGATTCCCCACGCCTTTGGTCGCAACCGTCCGCCCATCATTGGCTCTGGTGCTATGCTGAAGAAGGAAGTCGACTTGCTCGACAGTTTGTCCGACATGAAGGTCGCAGCGGACCTTATGAAGGTTGATCGCAAGAACACGGACGTTCACCAAGCCGACAGGCAGTACCAGGGTCTTGGAATGGAGGAGATGACTCCCCTTGACCGCAAGAGCACAGAGTTCACCCTTCTTGCCGAGTACCTGAATGGATCCAAGGGCTCTACCCACGGCCACACCTACAAGATTGAGGACATCTTCCGGATTGAACGACAGGGCGAGCTGGAGCGCTTCGAGAAGAGCGAGTTCTCATCCATCAAGTCGGACCGCAGATTGCTGTGGCATGGCTCCCGAGTCACCAACTATGGTGGTATTCTCAGTCAGGGTCTCCGTATCGCCCCTCCCGAGGCTCCCGTGTCGGGCTACATGTTTGGCAAGGGAATTTACCTTGCCGACATGTCGAGCAAGTCAGCAAACTACTGCGCCTCTTATAACTCAGGGGGTCAAGCGTTGCTGCTGCTTTGTGAGGCCGAACTTGGAGACCCGATGCAGAAGCTCACGAACGCGAGCTACAACGCGGGTGATGATGCAAAGGCGGGCGGCATGTGGTCCACTTGGGGTCAGGGTAACACCGGGCCGAGCAAGTGGAAGGATGCCAGCTGTGTCAACCCGGACCTTAAGGGTATCCAAATGGTGAGGACAAGCCGCGCCCTAACTGTAACGCAAAGATCCAGTACTAACGATTTCGCAGCCCGACGTGAGCGTCACGCCAGGCCCCACCAATGTTCCAGGCGCATACCTCATGTACAACGAGTACATTGCTTACGACCTTGCCCAAGTCCGCCTCCGCTACTTGTTCCGCGTCAAGATGTGAGGTAGCGAGTGGAGAGGCTGAAAAGGATCCAACAGCATGGCTTCAAACTGGAAGGTATCAAGACCCTCGCGACAGGGTAGCATATTTGCACGACATTCGACCTAGGTAAGAGGTCTTTACTTTCTATTCGTGATCACTGGCAATTGGCGTTCGACGTAACTAGGTAAATAAAAGGAACAACTGACTTGCTAGTATTTATGGACATTACCTACTTGCTCATTGCCATCAGATGTGAATATGCTTTGACAACGCCCGACGTCACCTTACAGACTGCTAATTACTAGCCAAATGCATTGACTGATATGATACCCCGAGGAATTGACGAATATAAAGTTTTGAACCCTGCAGGAAGTTGATTTCTTTCATTTCTCTGAGCGCCTAGACCTCTGCGATTCAGACTCTACGAGATCCTCCATTTCACCAGCATCCTTCCCACGCACGCCCTCCACCTGCTCATACACCCTATCCAACCCCCAAATAGTCCACACCACACACCCCAGCACCGCAAACTCCATCAACACCGTCATGAACAGATACGTCGTCGTATCCCCGCTCACCGCACTAAACCTCTTCTCCCCGGTACTAACATAGGCAATCGTATACGAGATCCGCACAACCATGAACGGGAAACACCCCGCGAAGCCAACCATAGCCCGCCTCTCTTCCTGCGGGATACGCGCCCACTCCTTTGCCAGGAGCACGAAGAGGAGGACGCCCCAGAAGTAGAGCGCCGCAAAGAGGCCCACGCCTGCTCTCGTGAGCGTACCGGGCGCCGTGGCGTCGGAAGTCTTTTTGGCGGCGAGGATGTAGTCTGCGATGGAGATGCCGAGGCCGGCCCAGCAGATGAGTTCTGGGATGCGGAAGTGCCATTGTGTTAGAACCTGGACGAAGGAGTTACTGTTTCGTAGGTGGTATATCAGCATTGAACAGAGATGCATATGCCCGCCTTTCTATACCAGTGGTAGGCGCAGGGGAAAGAGGGGAGAACTTACACTCTCTTGAGCAGATCAAGCAAGACAAATGTAAGTAGAACCAGACCCAGAGATTCGCAGACAAAGATGGCGGCCCAGACTGCGCGAGAGGAGTTTGTGATTGTGCCTAGCATGCAGCCGGCGCCGACGATGCGGATGGTGGAGATAAAGGAGATGCCGAACCAGCCCATTTTCTTTTGGACGCGGAAGAGGATGCCGAACGCGAGGCAGACTGTGAAGACGATGATTTGGGCGATTGCTACGCCGTCGCGGTATCGAAAGGAGCGTGTCATTGTGGTGTTAGTGCTGGTTGCCGGGCGAAGGATTTGATGATGTTGAGAAGGAAAGAAACACCAAATTTGAACCGCTGTGAAAAGGAGAGCTAGTCAACCCAAGTCCTGTAAGATTGCTTCAATAATATTATGGAACATTCTTTGCATTTGTACGTATGATGTCTCCGATCATGTAAGCTCACACCGGATGGACCTTCGGCGCAGATCTACAATGTCCCCCGGCTCCCGTTCGGGAGGCCGCTCATGGGGGACCCAGTTTATTCTGTTAAGCGAGTGCGAGTGCGCGACGGAGTACTCGCACCAGGCAAAGGCGGTGCTGCGGATTTCTTGGGTCTCGACTGAGGTCCAATAGAAAAGCACTGCGACATTCCAAGACAGATTTATAAGGATTCGATCTGCCAATTTGCTTACTTTTGAGCCCCAGGATGTTGAGCGGATCGTCTGCTCAGCCCTGTTGTAGGGTAGCACAAGCGTGACAGCCACCGTCCAGCCCTCATGCGACGAGAATTTGTCGTGAGACAAGTTGCTTTTCAGATGAGATGACAGCTACTGCCTGTAGTCGATCTAAAAAGTTGGGGTGAAGTCTATCGACTTTGGATGAAAGGGCAGCCCCTTGTTGCTGGATATTCGCTTTCTGAGTCAGTCTCATGGTGCGCGAACAATTAGGTATTCGAAGACTTTGCCTTACAGTTCATCCACGACTGGCAGGTTCTCGGCGGAATGATCTTTTTTGAACGAGTTTGACGACTGCTCCAACTGCGAATTTGACACCTTTCAGATTCGTCGATATGGGTATTCCGACCATACCTTAGCCAGGCACTGCTATCTAAAGACAGCATGGGTGGGCCCGGCAGCTATTTCAGCAACATGACTTTTCCTGATGAAGTCATCGCGGGGCAAGCTGACGCCGGATTTAGGCCCCGCGTCTACAAACTCTAAACTCTAAACGCCGGCGGTGGCTTGTGATTTCTACTATAATCAAGCCTCGACTTCTTCCTTTTCACATCACCACTGGTCTACTGCATCATTACAACCTCGAATTCGACTCTTCGGCCGTAGTGAATAGCAGTCTCCCAGCAATCGAGAACCATCTCAACCTACGTGAGATCTTTCGGCGGCCAAGGCGACTCACACAGCTTCCACAACCCGACCGTACCTCGCCCAGAATCAATTGGACAGTGTTGGCTTTATTGAACGTTATGCTTTGCGACATTTGGGAGCCCAGCGACAACTGGAGTGGCATATCTGATCAAGCGCGACGAAAGAAGTTACAAAATAAGCTCAACCAGCGTGCCTATCGTTAGTTATGCCCTGAATGATGCAATATTCCTGTGAACTCACCCCTTGCAGGCAGGAGACATGGAAAGAAGGGCGACCAAGTGTCATCGAGTTCAAGAGACGAGCAGAGCATGATCTGTACAATATCCAAGGACACTCTTAGTAAAGAGCATGGAGCAACTAATTTGAGAGGTGCTCCTGGAAACGGCGAGAGCATACTTACCGCGCTATTGGCCGGATGCGAGCTCATCAGGTGTCCTCGACGGCAAGCTCTGGCTCGGATACGCATACAGCAAGTGTACGAAGACTACTCTCTCCACGCTCCTCGGCCGAAAGCTTTGCACACACTCGTAAGGCTACGAGTTCTCGCCGCCCTCGCTCGCAACGCCTCTTGCATGGGTTTTCCGCCGGAAGGCTTATGCCGGTCAGACTATATCTCACCATATAATTCCTACGGCCCCTTGATCCCATTTCAATCACGCAAAGCTAGCCCAGCCCTACAGCCCACACTTTTACAAAGAACGGTCCTCCACCATCCCTGGATCGATCTTTTTCCTTTTCCCCGGCTACGGGACAACGTTCTCATCGGGGTTGTCAGAGGGGATCTGGACGACGACGAACTATGCGCTGATATCTTGGAAGTTAAGGACGAGGACCTCAGCGATAAGCCCTCGCTGATCGTATGGGGCGAACCATGGGACTGGAAGGCGTGGGAGGCTAACGAGAACTTCTTTACGAAATGGGGATCCTTGGTCAAGGGATGCCCGGAGCTGCTGGAGGCTACAAACTCCTGGAGGGTGAAGCGGGGTGAAGAGAGATTCGTGTTTGAAGTCTGAGCCCGACCTGAGGTCGATTGCACGTTGTTGTCAAGGCACTGTCAGCTTATATCGTGAAGAAGAAATGTTTCGTCAAATTCGATGCTTCCAGGCTCCCATGCCTTTTGTCGCTTGTTGCATCAGAAATTTCCACGTGTTCCCGTTGACGCATATGATTTCTGCCAAGGTAGGAAACCATCAGTGGCAATACCAACCAACTGCCGACTCAAGAGCAGAACATTGGGTGATAATTCGTCGATTACATGCATTTGTGTTTCAGAGGACGATGTTCCATGCAAAACCGTCAGGTTGCGCCTCGTTGGACCGTGGACATGTGATTGAAGAAAGGAGTTGCATCTCCGCAGGCAACTCCGCCAGATCTCCGCGTCTAACTTAGCTCTCGTAGCCAAACCTTGTTTCGGACAACGTAACCTCTCCCAAGGCCTCCAACATCTCAGTTTGTTCGACCGCCAAAGAATGAATGACCTGGTTGGCTCCAACAACCCATCAGCTCATCATGGTCCGCAGATCGAAACAAAAGTCATGCTTCGCTTGTGTGGAGGCAAAGAGGCGTTGCGACCAGAGTCTCCCGGCCTGCTCACGGTGTCTGGACAAGGAAGTCCATTGCACTTATCCCACTGTCCGTCGAAGTAGACAGGCGCCGTTATCGAGCCATTTCAGCTCGAGATTGGAATCCGGATGGGATCTCGAGGCCTCGTGGCCGGGAAGCGGCATCGACGGTATCGGGGTGGTGTTGGATGAAGCCCTTTTTGCTCCGGCACCCGCACCGGGGCCAGCAGCAGATATCGCCGCAACGACGATGACAACCACGGCGTCCTCCTCCACCTCCTCCGCCACAAGCCATATCAACTCCGATGGTGCTTCGCAACCGGTCGTCCCCAATGCGGAAGGCTTGAACTGGTTTCTCCAATCCACATCCTGGACCATCGACTACCAACGTGAAGCGCCAGTGTCAATCCCGCCAGCCGCGGTCTTTACCAATTTCGTCCGCGGACTGCAATCTTGGCTCGTCCGCTTCCTCCACAAGGGGTGTAATCCCTTTATCCACCAGCACCTCTACTCCGAGACGACCATGCCCCAGTGTATCCAGGACGCATACGCAGCCATCGCCATAGCGCAAACCATCACCCCGGATAACGAGCACGTCGTTGACGCGGTGTCGTCGAATTACATCATGACCCTCTTAGCTGCCAACTCCGCAGACGAGGCATCGTTCCTCCCGATCCTCTCGACGAGGCAACACCTAGCGCGCACCCAAGCTCTTCTGATCCACCTGCTCTTGTGCCTCTTCTCCCCTTCAATTTCTCGAAGAAGCAAAGCAGAGAACTTGATAGACACCCTGCGTCTCTGGGCCCGTCAGCTGTGGGAGTCAGCAGCGCTAGACGCAACGACATCGCCAATATTCCCCAACATCCTGTCGAGGACGTCATGTACTCAAGCTATCGAAACGGACGTAGTCACCAGCTTGTATCAAGCCTTCATCCTCTCCGAGTCCATTCGCCGCACGTTCCTTCTCACGAGCATGGCTACCGGAGTATACACCAGCTTGAAGGAGACTTGGACCCATGACTGTGCCGGCGACGTCTGTATCACGCTCCGCGGCGAGCTCTGGGAAGCTTCCTCGCCTGCCCGCTGGGAAGCCGCCGCGCGGAAGGAGGACCCTTTGTTTCTTCATAGCCTGAAAGGGCAGTCTCTGGTGGCCCGAGGAATTCGGGCCGCCGAGGTTGATGAATTTGCGCGGCTGATGTTCACTCTTCTATGGGGATTGGAAAAGGTAGATCAATGGGTCGTGAGCACCGGAGATTGTGTTTCTGTAGATTATGGAACTTGTATCTGAGCTCTACTAAATTTGGCGTTATGGACTGTATAGCCTATTACTGGTCATTGTAAAGAAAAAGGGGGACGTTGTGAAGTGCTCATTTAGCCACCGTGGGTGGATGTATGTGGCCTCTCTTAACGATCTAAAATCGCAATTTGCTCCTAGACTATTTACTCCATACGTATAAAGGTACTCTACTACGATGTAGCACACCTACAAGCGAGCTAACAAAAGTGATCCACAAGACTCCAGCACCTAACTACCATGGCTCAAGACCCGGGAGTCCTTGAGCACGAAGCTGCGCATTCACTTCATCATTGGCGTTGCGCCATAAACCTGCGACTTGCTCCTCGTTCGACACGACTGGATTCGGGTCTCCAATCTTCCCACCAGGAAACATAAACTTGCCTTTAAACTTGGAGGGATCTTGACGAATCTTCTTTGAGGCAGCTGCAAAGAGGGGCGTCGCAGCGCCCTGCTCTGGGGAGATGAACGTCCAACGCGCAATCGTCTTGATCAGACTAGGATTGATCGAGAACACGCCCTCAGTGGCAACTTCGCCGGGATGTACTGCCATGGATAGAATCGGCAGCTTCTGCTCATCCATTCGTCTCTGCAGCTCCTGGGCGAAGATGACATTGGCAGCTTTGGATACGCCGTAGCGGATCGTGTCGAAGCCGAATATAAAGCGACCGACATAGCGCCATTGCCATGGAGGCGAGGGAACTGGATTACGGAAGCAGTCGGGAGAATTAAAGTTGAACGGGAATTTTCCAGGGACCAATGCGGTTTGTGCACTTGAGCTCATCGTGATGACTCGGACGTCGGCGCCTTTATCCTGAAGGGCGTTTTTGAGTAGCGGGAGCATGCGGTTGGTGAAGAGAAAGGGACCGATGAAACTTGAATTGTCAGTAGGTTATGATCAGTTCTTTCAATCAATTGAGGCTAGTTAACTTACTTGGTAGCCATATGAACCTCCCATCCTGGGCCAACCAGTTCCGTTGATGTTGTTCCTGCGGCAGCGTTGTGAACTGGACAATTTGAATGTTAGAAGGAAGCAAGAGGAAGCAAAAAGGTTCAATGATGAGACGTACTCAGTATGTCGACTTTGTGCTCCTTCTCCTTGAGCCTATCCGCTGTTGAAGTTACACTACGCATGTCGGTGACATCCATTGTCATCCATTGCAGGTTCTCGGGGTCGATTTCGGGGTGGGCGTCCAAGATTTGATTGCGTGACTTGATGGCCGTTGTTTCAGAGCGTGTGGTGATGTAGACTTTTGCGCTCTTCTGTGCGAGAAGTCTTGCTATTTCGCGACCAATATCGCTGCTGTTGACCGTGTCCTGTCAGATACCCGCCTTAGGGGCTAGATGATCGCACTACCTGGGTAGTTTGGAGATAGTTGCGTACTTGCCACCCGTCACGACGGCAATCTTTCCTTTCAGATTAGGCATATCTTTGAGGGGCATCCACTGGTTGGCCATTTCGAAAAAATGGTGTAGAAAATGCCAATTGAGGGAAAGCTCAGTTTCCAATAATATTGGAGAGCTGCGATAGACGGCTGGCTTGAGGATGGCGTTGTAATGCGTTGGAAGTCCGGTGATAAATCGAGATCCGCACGCAACCATCTGTAATTGATGCAATGAAGTAGTTGGATGAGAGTTGTGTAAATAAATCCAAACCTCAGGATACAGTTCGAAGTCCGAAATTATCGGATCTGGAGTAAGCGCGCGCGATGATAGTTCCTCCGCTGGGCAAGATTGTAAGTTCATGAAACGGCCACACGGAAAGAAATATCCTCCGAAGCATGCAGAACCATGATATCAAGAATGAAGCTATATCGATAGACTGTCAAAAGCCGACTGTGTATCACGTCAAGCAGTGAACACAATGCGGCGGAGTTGCTCCGGAGCACTAGCGGAGGAACGGCGGACGGAAAGTGGAGGAAAGTGGGTACCCTATCCGCAGGCCGAGAAGGGGGTCTAAAGTTTCAAGTGATAAAGTAAGGTATTCTATAGAGTCCGATGCCCTGATCTTCATCTAAATTCATGCTTTGCAGCTTCTTACGTCTCCTCTTATGGTTTCTTTTCGCATCTGGAATAATCACTTTGCTCACTTGCTTGTGTCGAGAGACATATCTCACAGCCGCCCTGAGATCTTGGCAGAAAAGCAATCATTGCTAGCCTTACAATCATCGAAGGGGATGCTTCAGCACAAGCTTCCCAAAAGCTCCTTGCTTAGACACCATCTCCATTTCTTCCAGCGCCTTTTCTCCAGTACCCTCAAACACACGTACGACAGGAAGCTCGAATCCCTTTCCGTAATTCTTGACTACCCAGTCGAGAGCAGCCCACATGTTAGCGGCCTTTTCAGGATCTGCGGGAATGACCTGGCGACCGCCGGCAACCTCAAAGACAATATCGTAGTCTCGGGATCCGAGGACTGACTCGCTTGGCGGACGCTGCGCACCCGTTGCAATGGCCCAAGAAAATTGTACCTTGCCAGCAATGTTGGACAGCGCATCGAGGAGAAGCTGACTCGACCCGGGCGACCCCGCGGTCTCGAATCCCCAGACACGAGAGTGGCCTGCTGTGATGACCGCTTGTTTGACCTTGTCTGAGACATCGGCATCCTTGTAGTCGAAGCATTCGGTCGCACCGAGACCTCGGAGAAGATCATGACGGGAAGGAGATGCCGTAGTGATGATGTTGGTAACCCCGCTGGCCCGAGCTAGCTGAATGGCGGACAAGCCGACGGCCGTACCCCCGCCCCATACGACCAGTGTGCCCTGCACAACGCCGGAAGCAGATCCGGGGAGAGGAAGTTTGAAGTTGTTGTACAATGCGTCGCTGGCGGTGTGGGTGACGGTGGTTATGGCTGCGGCGTCAGAGTGGGCCATGTTCTCAGGGACTTTGAACAGGCTAACTCTCGGCGTGAAGATTCGCGGCTTGTGAGCGCCGTAGTCTTTGGAATATTGTCCCTGGACAATGGTCTGACCGGCCACAACGTCGCCGACACTGAGCCCGGAATCGACAAGCGCGGGGCAGTCTAGGACCTTGCCGCAGAAGTCCGTTCCCAGGACAGAGTTCCGATAGTTGGTGAAGTGTACTGTCTTGAGATCCGCAGGGTTGACTCCCGAATAGAGGACGTCAATGAGTATCTCGTCGTCTCGTGCTGTGACTGGAGGGAGATCACGTCGAGTAGTGACTTGTCCATCATTTCCGACGAAGAGAGCAGCACCTGTCATAGTGGAAAGTGAGTGTAAGGCGCAGGCTTGAAGACATCAACGGACGCGCGTGTTGATTGTTCAATAAAACATTCTAACTGAATCAAACAACTATGCGCAAGTGTTATTTATCTAATCCCCAGAGGCGCATGTGCGGGTGCTTAGTTCCAACACCAGGATTACTCAAGGTCCGCCAAGTCCGCCTCTCCGCAGTCTTGCTACATGCTGTGTCACAACCGAATTCGACTGTGACGGCCACGACCACTCCTTGACCTCACTGAGAGGGAGTTCAGTTGAAAGTCCGCAAAACCTGTCGGACTTTGTCAAACGCCACGGACTTGAATGTGAGCAATGAAGCCATGATGTTTATGTTCATAGCCTCCATAGGTACGGAATTGTGACATGGAAAGACACCTGTAAATGGCATTCCAAGCTTGAATGACGAGTGAAAGAAAAGCAAAAGTCTCGCAACAACGTTTCAATGCATAATATGTTTCATTGATATCTACCTATCAATAACTGAGTAATCGCCGAAACATTACTTGCGACAGGGTTGATGCAAGTTAATTGTTGCTGATTTCACACAGTTTGAAGACCATATCGAACATGTGGTCGACGGCTGGTGGGAAAGCGTTGTATAGTCATTGTCATCTTGATTGATGCTGACTGACGCGAAGCTCCTGAACCCCTGTGTCTGGGCTTTGGTGTTCATCCTTCCAGATGCTAACAATCTCTTTCAGGAGCATTTCGTCGAAGACAATATATCAACCGTGGAGCGGAGGTTGATCATCCACTATGTCATCTCCAATTCCATTATTCTCATTCCACTCATCGGGGGCCTCAAACGTCTCATCCGAAATCCAGTTCCTCGAATGAGGAGGTCGAATAGGCTGACGATCATTAGGCAACCAGTACGCCTTGCGGTAGCCATTGAAGAAGTTCATGCCCTCCTCCCGAACATCGCTGAACTCGCACATATCCCAGTGCCAGACGGCGAGGTCGATCCACTGGATACTATTATCGCACTGGTGCTTCTTGCACTCGTCCAAGGCCTTGCCGAAGCTAATCCAGTCCGGCGTGTGTGGCGGCGCCGCTTTCGCGCACCATTCGCCGGCAAGTTTTGGGAGCTTGGCGCCTTTGAGGCGCCATTGGGTTTCTCCGATACAGTATTGGACACAGGCAGGCAGTCTGTCGATTCTGACGTGACGTGCGCTGGTACGTTTGGGTGGTTTGGCAAAGACTGCCAAGGGGGCCAGAAGGATGGCGAGGGTAGTGGACAGCTTCATCTTTGCGGTTGCTTGGGTGTATGTGTTATTTTGTGTGTGTTGGGTCCGACGCCAGTGAGTCCACTAACTGGCAGCTTGGAATGAATGGGTGAACGGCGGTGTGTAGGATCTATTGATATGTTAGTTATACGTCTGGCAGGACGCGACGAAATTTGTGTACCTTGTCTAATGTGGTCCGATGGATGAAAGCCAAGATCAGTAGGGTATATGAGAGATGAGAAAGAGATGGAGGATTGGCGGGAAGGAAGGTCCAATATTATATCAATGCTCAGACTATCTCCGGTAACATGGTAAGGAAGTTCGTGGAAGCGGAGCTGTAAGGTTGAAGTTAGTTTCGGAGATAACTTGAGGTACCTTACAATGGTTCGATCCAAAGCTTGGGTTCTTTGACAAGCATCCCCTCGATGGATATCAAGGTGTCTACTTTGCCGACTAGATATAGCATTCACTTACAGTAAAATAGGTAACGAGGCGGTCAAGATTTACCAACAGCTATCATATTAGTCAATGCGGCGATAATTGACTCCTAGTACTAATGGGGCTCTTCGATAGACTGGCGTGAATTTGGTTGAACGCGTAACGTATTCATATAAACAGACTTCCCATAACCACTGTGTTGCCGAATCCCAGAGTAGAGCAGAGTACAGACTGTTACAGGCATAGGAAATCAAGCCACCAATGGCACTGGACCTCTTATTTCCCTGCGCAAGCCTCAAAACACACACCCTTAAACGTCTTGTGACTTTTTCCATCAGTAGCCACCGCCGAGCAACAAGTCTTATCTCTTCTCGCACATTTCTTCCCTTTGCTGTTCTGGCAGTCTTTATCAGAGTTACACATATCCTGACAATACTGCCCATCAAACGCGCCGCAAAACGGATTGCCCTCGACATGATCCATGCAGTCGCACAGCTCGTCCTCGCCAGTACCGCAGTTTGATCCGCTAACGATGGGATCTTGACAGCTTTCGGGGAGGGAGACGCCTGCTTTACAGGTATGTGGTTCGATGCAGTGGCCCGAGTGGCAGTTGTAGTTTTCTGGGCACTATGGTCGTGGTAAGTTGAACCGTCTTTGGCTGTGGCTAATGCATTGTGTAGAGGAACAGCCTTACCTTGTTCCCGCACTTGCCGCAGTTCATTGGATCGCTCTGGAACGTGTCTTTGGGCAGGCACTCTGAGTTACAGCACGTTGTGCCCTTGCCACACTAGTATGCCGGTCAGTTAAGCTTCCGATAGTAAGTCCTAATACTTGTGGTCCAAAAAGGGTCTTCGTGTCAGGGGTGACTTGCCTCGCTCCCGCATTTTCCGCAATTTTTGCCATCACTCTGCAATTGTATCGTACTGATACACTTGGAATCGCAGCAGGCTTGACCTTCGTTACACTGAAAGCCGTGAGTAAATGACTGAGAACGTCGAGTCCAATGGAGACGATATTAGGGGTGAGGGGTTTGTCAACACACCTTGACGCCACACTTGCCACAACTCTTGCCATCGCCTTGGAAGCTGTTCCCGGGGACACATTTCGAATTACAACAACGTTCCTTCTCGCCGCACTGTTGTATTCCACAATCGACATGTCAGTCCCAAGACCACCTATCGGGCGGAGGGGGCAAAAAAGCAACAAAACATACCTCCTTCCCGCACTTCCCGCAGTTACTAACATCAGTCGACGTATCAACACACTCAGCCGTCTTACCAGTCTTGCAAAACGACTTTGGCTTCTCGCATGTCAGGCAGAGGGTATCGCAGTTGGGGAAGACCAGTTTGAGCGGCAGACAGAGTACCGAGCAGAGGGCAGCTAACTCGTTGGTAGACACGGTGTCCTGGAAGAGCTCTTGAGCGGCTGGTGAGCGTGTTAGTCTTGATTTAGTGAGGAACTAGCACTGGACTTACAGATTCCTGTGCTGGTGATGGATATTAAAAGCCAGATTGATATGGATTCGGAGAGTTTCATTTTCACGGCTGCAAGTTGACGACCTGGTAGTATCTTGCACCTTCTCTGAGAGACAAGGCACATGGGTATCGGTGGACAACGTCGAGGGTTCTATGATACATGTGTACATCTTATATAGATGCCATGTTTACTCAACTCTTTACCATTCTGACCGAATTTTTTCTTTGGGGCGTATTACATCGTGTACCATATTCACAAGTGCAATGTTTAGCCTAGGGGACGTTGCACCGTACTTTAGAAACCGTCCATCTTGAGCAACGCAACCAGTATGAGCAGCTAAGCTTCATTGCGGTGCTTTACTGGGCAGGCGACAAAATGTCTCGAGGCTCGTCGAACCCAGCAGTTTCAGCAATAGTGAGCGACCAAGGGAGATAAGTTGTCACAGTCAACAGGTATTACATAAACCAGCCAATAGTCTCAGATACTGTTACTTAATCGATAGTCTGGGGTGATTCTTGGCTTGTACGGTTCTATCCAAAGTCAATGGCTCACAAGCTTCGTAACCCATCGGCAATCTCGCAATATGACAAGACCGACATTATAGACTTGTTGATAGATAAGGTGTGGCGATACAATGGGACCAAGCATGTAGATCTATAGCTAAATACATTTTCCCTCTTGCTGGATTTCAGCTGATCGCCTAATCTTGGCAAAGCCGTTTGACAACCTTTGGGTCTGACCGTTGGTCAGCTTCGCCAAGGCCAAGAATACCCCAAGAGCACCAAGCCTTGGACAAAGTCGCGGGTGGAGAGAAGGGCGTCGGCGCAGCAAAGGACCCCTCAAAGCAGCCCGGCCTGGTCCTTTGAGAGAGTCTTAATCCCCTGGCCGAGTTTCTAGTGCGATGCGGTCGATACTCGTCTCTGCTGCTATATGTATGATGACGGCGCCGCGGCCAAGCATCAAAGGCAAGGTAGACATTCTGCATGCCTCCCACCCCGCGAGACCGGCAGACGGACGCTTGAGATTGGGGTCAATGCTATCATCCAAGACGTGGGTACATGCATAGTGCCGTAATACAAGCTCACGGGAGGAGGGAGGATAAGCAAAGGTCAAGCTTCATGTGGACCATTCTGGGAACGAGGAAAGGGTAAGACGGGCAACACGGGTGGTTAAAGGCTTAGGTTGTGACATCAATATCGATTGTCATACCTAGCGAGCAAGTTGCTACTGTAGCGACCGCCCTTAAAGTGTGTTTGTGGTGTACGGGCATGCGGCCACCCACCGGCTAGGTGTCTTACCCCAGCTATGCTACTGCAAACGTGCGAGCAACGTGTTATTGTCTCCAAGGGCAAAATGACTTACGCTAACATTGCCGTAGTGGAAAACCGACAATTACAGTCCAACATAGACCGTACCGAGGGGTTGGTTCGGGACCATGGCCGGTGGCGCCAGGTGACGGCATGGAGAGTGTGAGTGAGCATGATTTGGATTCTTTACGAAACTATACACGAACCCGATCCGTGGTTTTGACGAGTCCAGGGACCACGGCGATGGCTTGGCGAAATAGTTTCGTTGCCAAGAACATACGAGGAAGAACTAGTGGTGTTTCTGGCCTGAGCGAGCGTAGAACGAGAGAACCGATGGGCTCGAAGGAGGGGCGGAAGAACGCTCTGGGTTGAACCTCCTACGTCACTTGGCCCGGTCCACACCATCTTGCGCGGTCGCGAGAAGCCAAGCGCTTGGCGACTCCACCGGGAAGATTGTGACCGTGTCAGACCATTCAAAGTTGCACTTGGTGAACAAGAGTGACAAGAATTGGAAACTCAAGCTCTGCGTTGGAGA